GGTTGTGAAGTTAGTCCGGTCCAACAGAAGATCGAAGTTAGATCGGTCTAACGGTACTTCGGAGTTAGACCGGTCTTGGAGTTACACCGGTCATAACATGTTAGTTCGGTCTAACCACGCCATGGGTTGTGCATGAGAAGCCGACGTAAGAGCAGTAAAAGGAAGAGCTAGTTCGGCTTATCCTGTGGCTATGCATAGTCATGTTTACTTCGGTCGTATTGGAGTTCGGCCATGATAGAACCATCTCACTTGGTTTAAGCAGTGAGGGGGGTGTTGAAGGATAAGCATTATCTTTCAGGAGTATGAATCCTAGAAGGACTCTGCATGGAGAAGTAAAAGTCCTACTAGGATTGTGCCACACGAAACCTATAAAAGCTTACAACATCACCTTTGGTTTTCATCTGATAAAGTCTAAAACAGTGAGGAAGAATCTAAGTTTCAGGTAAAGGGAAGTCATTCTCATTTCATTTTACTCTCTTGCAAGATTATTTCAACAATGGAGAATATTGAACACATAAAAACAGTAAGAAGGAATATAAAATTATAACATAATGAAACCCTCATCCTATTCAAAATTTTAAGCATGTATGGTACTATTTGCTATATATGACTTAACCATGCTTAGTCTTGTATATATAAATTATATAAGTTAAGTTGGAGGTATCTAAGGGAGGATAGATGTGATGTATTCTTACCTCAATGAAGTAAAAAAAATTCCAAGTGTTGGGCCCTTCTTCCTCTCTCTTCTCTCCTTTCCCTCTTGCTTTCTCTCCCTCTCTTCTCTCTTTGTTTTTCTCTCTTTGTTTTGCTCAGTTACAAGTGTGTGTAATGAGGCTGAATAGTGCTCCTAATATAAGAGTTTGAGGGCCTAATTTGTTATTATTATTATTATTTTATTTTTACTTTACTTCTCTTTTTTGCTTAGGAACTATCATCTAAGCTTAGATGATAGCTTACAGTTTTTGCATGTCGTGGCTGCCTTAATCAAAGGCTTGGAATGCCATCTATGCATGCTTACTTCTCTAGAGAGGTTGAGTGTGAACTTGGGGAAAACAAGCATGCAAGCAAGGCAGCCTTGGTAAAAAAAAGTGGCAGTCAGCCACTTTTCTTGAAACTTAATCCTCTCTTTTTTTTTTTTTTAATTGAATTGAATTGAATTGAATTGAAATTGATGTCAATACAATATTAATATGTATATATAACTTTTTATTTATTTATTTACTTATTTAATATTATTATTTTCAACTGGATGGTTTTCTTCCTACTAAATTCTAACTAGCTTATTTACTATTAATTTAATCTATGTAGTTTTCACAACTGTATTTTGATACAGAAATTTAATCACAGTAAGATAAATAATTTTATTTAAAAGAATTTAATATTGATATTAATTATGGTGCTATTAACATTATAATTTAATAGTTTAATAATCATTATTGATTGACTTAATATTATTATTAATAAACTAATTAGTTGTCTAAAAATTCAAGTTCTTACAGTTTTGTTATATAGATTTTAACTAATTGATCAATCATAAGGAGCAAAGTCCTGTCAATCAATTGTTGAAACTCATTGATTAAGTATAAAAAAATAAAAAATAAAAAATTGTAATTTGATTTTCTAAATTATTATATATATACTCTTATATATTTCCCACTTTCAATCCAATTTATAAAAGAATTTAACTGGAATATTAATTATGAAATATAGTGTATATTTTAAGTGAATCCAAATAGATGATAGTTATTGTGTTATTGTGTTTGCATCTATAAATGCAAAAATAACTAAAAATTATTTAGTAGTGCATGCTTACCATCTTGCACATGATCAGCATATGCGAATATAATAGATGAATAGTGATTCGGTAAAAAAATCAAAGACTTATGTTTCAAATACCAGGAAAAGTTAATGTAATTTACAATTTGTTTTTTTTTTAAAAAAAAAAAGAAAAATAATGGTAGGCCATCACATGCAACAGTTTTTGATAAAATCAGACAATATAAAATCACATCCAAAGAACAAAATATCCTCACAATCCCCAGGAAAAAAAAAAACCCCAATATAAAATCAGACAATTCAAGAAATGGGTATTGATAAGAATCGACAAACAGAGTTCCAGATCTTCAATTTGCACAAACAAAATGATAAAATAATAATAATAGTTAAAAAGAAAAAAAAAAAGAAAAAAAAAACAGGATGAATTAATGAATGAATAGAGAAATGGACCTGCAAATAGAACTGGTACGAACATCCATCCAAACAATGGCGTTATAAAGATGGAGACTAGTAGATTTGCTCGAAACGACCGTTGTTTCTCTCTGATTGGTGAGTTCAATTGCCTTAAGTCCACCGTCAACATTGTACCCATCCACAGTTGCTTTGTCAATTGCCTTGCTCATACAAATCCTCACTCTCCAGAATCTCCATCGGATCGTGATCTACCCATCTGCAGATTCACAAACAAAACAACAATAAAAAAAAATAGAGCAATCACAGAGAGAGAAAGAGAGAGTTCTTCATGCCCTGCTTGTGGGTAGAACTGAGTGAACTCGACCTGGTGAGATCCAAATGGGTGGGCATTCTTGTCGTAGAGAATGAATCTGGTGCTAGTGGTTCCTTGATCGATTGACCCAATAAACACATTCTCTTTCGACATTTCTATTCTTCTCTTTCTCCTTCGAAGAGTGTTGTGTTGCGTCTCAAATTAATCAAAAAAAAAACAGAGCAAAACAGAGTTATGAAGAAGGAGAGAGAGAGAGAGGGGGTGTGTTCAAAATTTGAAATCAAAAAGAAAGAGATGGAAGGAGTAAGTGTGTGAGAGAGAGACATTTTCAGCCATTGGATTGAATCAATCTAAGGGTCCATATTTTGACAAAGGGACAAAAGTCCCATAAGAATTCAAAAACTATCATTCCTTATTATATAGATTTTATACTATACAAATTTAATTTTAATCTCACAATACTATTTGGAATAAATTTGAGATACTTGGTTTGGGATGTCCTAAAAAAGTGCACTTTTTGACTTATTGGTGGGTTTGGGTTGGGTTTGGGTTGGGTTTGATGTGATGTGTTAGAGAGGTGATGTGATTTAAATAAGATGATGTGACTTAAATAAGATAGTGACTTTTTGACTTTTTGGCTTATTTAGTACATGCCAAACTAGCCCTAAGTCTCCGGATTCGGAGTCCCTTTCGGTACATGACACCTTAGGGCCGACTAAGTCTCCGGATTCAGAGCGCCCTTCGTGGATATCACGATTGGCCAAATTAAAGTCTCCGGATTCGGAGCCCCTTTCAGTGCATGACACTTTTCTTTTGCCTCCATTAATTATTTCCTTTGTGGGTTTTCAACACTTTTCCAAGCTTCATTCGAAGCTATGGAACTCGGAACCTCATCATCATTGTGCAATTTTCCAACATTTGTAGAATTCAAGTGACTCTTTTCCAAAACCAAATATGGGTATTCTCCATCTTTGTTCTTTGGATCCAAAATTTCCAATGAAACCTCTCGAAACTCTCGCTCTAGCTCCATTAAACAAGCGCTTAGATCTGCACACTATCCTTAACAATTCTCTGTAAACATCTATCCAAAGTATCTAAATACTTGATGCAGACCAATTTCACAGCAGAACCAACACCAGAACCCAACCCTGAAAACCGATTCATACCCATCTCTCTCTCTCACTACGAAGTAGAACTTGAACAAATCATCTGATTTCTCATCTCCAAGCATTGGAGGCAAAGGCTTAAAACAATCACTCCCAGAGTTCTGTTTGAGTAAAATACACAAGAAATGATTGAACAAACAACGAAGCTTGTCTTCTTCAGCACTACCAACATAATCGTTACAAAACCTGTTTGTTTGAAGCTTTTGGAGGCTTTTGAATCGATTTAAAGCAGACCTATCAGCTATCTTTGACCATGGCTGGATTCTGGGAATTGTGCAGTTAACTGGATGATTGGGGGACAATCGGCCAGACTTCCAGCCAGTCGTCTGGCGAGTCCCACCCCCAACATTCATATATAGGCCAAGTTTGGCAACTCTTAAAAAATCTAAAAAGTCAAAAAGTCACTATCTTATTTAAATCACATCATCTTATTTAAGTCACATCACCTCTCTAACACATCACTTCAAACCCAACCCAAAGCACTACCAACATAATCGTTACAAAACCTGTTTGTTTGAAGCTTTTGGAGGCTTTTGCATCGATTTAAAGCAGACCTATCAGCTATCTTTGACCATGGCTGGATTCTGGGAATTGTGCAGTTAACTGGATGATTGGGGGACAATCGTCCAGACGTCCAGCCGGTCGTATGATGAGTCCCACCCCCAACATTCACATATAGTAAACTAATAAAAGCTGGCTCAAGTCCTCAATTCGATAAAAAATTTGAGATGTTCTCAATTTAATATAGGTTTGATGAAGTTATTAGAGATCAAAAAAGATTAATTTTTTATCAAATTTAAATTTAATGATAGATTTAATTAAACTTTGGAGATGGCCTCACAAGTGAATCCTTCTGATTTAGCCGGCAAGCTTCGGTTTGGTGGCCGTTGGTTGGATGGGAATTTTGGGCAGTCCAGGGTGGGAAAACCGAGGTAGGTTCTTTCATTGGACTGATATTTGATTGGGCTGAGGAAATTGGGTAGGTGTAGAACAGCAGATTGGATCAGTGGTCGCTATAATTGGGCCGGCCATAACGCATAATAAGACAATAAACTACACTTTCTACAAAGTAAACGGAATTAAATCGCATTAATTAATTAATTATTATTATTTTTTTAATCTTACAATTACCTTCCAAGAAAAGAAAAAAAAAATCTGCTCAAATTATTATTACTTTCTTTGACCAAAAAATAAAAGCATTGCCATTCAAATTAACTCATTTTTCTGCCTACAATAATCATCTTGTATTATACTAAGACCTCATTTGTCAATAAACTAAAATAACTAATAATAAAAAAATTATTATAAATTATCACATAACTCTCTTTAGTTTTCGCCAAAATAAACAGAATTTTATACATGAAACAGGAGTCTTGTTAATTCTTTTCCTTGCATAGATTTTTGGCAGTGTATAGAACAACCATTTTTTTCTTTTTTTTCTTTTTTCAGGACAATCAACCATTTTTTCATATATTCCTCAATACACAAAATTTAGTTCTTAAATGGGACAACCTCGATTCATTTCACACAGTAAATACTCCAAAAAACATAAAACACTATCGTTATGTTTTTGTGGAAAACTGTTTCTGTGGAAGCGCCCTCCAACCAATGTCTCGGCGATAGAACCCACCCTGCCAGTTTACTTCCTCGACAGCTTGGTAAGCTCTATCCCGGGCCTCTTGAAGGTCTATTCCCTTGGCAGTGACTCCAAGAACACGTCCTCCGATGGCAATGAAGTTGCCATCTGAATCAAGTGCAGTACCGGCATGAAATATCTTAACAGACGGAACAGCCTGCTCTGCTTCGTCAAGGTTTTGAATCACGCTTCCCTTTACATAGCTCTCAGGGTAGCCATTGCTTGCCATCACCACCACCATGGCAGAGACTGGAGACCAGTTCAGAGACACTCCACTCAGTTCACCCTTGCAAGCTGCTAGTAAAACTTGTGCCAGATCAGATTCCAAACGGACCATCAACACCTGTGGATCATAAAAAGTCAATGTTTACTGAAAAGGTTGGATTAATTTATGTTATTATGACCAATAAGAACATGTAGACTGTTCTATTGAAGAGTAAATATGCCTATCCTACATGATGAACACAATGGAATTCTGTGTGCATTTTTTTTTTAAATGTAGACATGGTCACGTGGATGCACCCAAAAGACGGCCGCTACATGAAGCCTCAAAATTACAGCTGCATATCACTAACAGGCAATGGAATCATCATGCTCAAAATATCATTTTGAAAACATGGAGAAACAGACTGGATGGGCAATACGGGAGACCTGACCTATTTTTATTTGTTTCCCTCTTTACTGTTCAAAGAAGTTCTTCTCCATTCCATTTAGTTTCCCATGTCATTCGAAATACGTTAATCCTGTTAAAAGTACACAATCCTCGCCAACCCTTCTACACTAACCCTTTCCTAACAAAAGAAAGAAATAAAGAAATCTTTTATGCTTGGAAAACGGCAAATGAGTAATAAATTAATATCCACGATGACCACAGTCCACCTCAACATAATTTAGTGATGCGGGGTCAAATATGCCATGACAATATCTATGCTTAACTCAAAAACTGGCCATCAAATATATATGTCTACCAAAATATGGTCCATTCCATAGACTCAAATGTTGTTCAATCATGATTCTCTTGATGGTGATGGTAGTTTTCTTATTATAAAGGTAGTGGCAGGGATTTTATTGTTGAAGAGAAAGTGGTTAAAGGCGGTGGTGGGTCATTTTGTAGAGACTGAAAATAGTAAGAGAAGGAAGGGGAGGTGGCGGTGGCGGTTGTTTTACTATAGACAGAATGTTGTTGTTGGTGGGAGGTAACTCTGTAGATGGAAGAGTAGGTATAGGTGGAGGAGGAGGGGGAAGTGGTGGTAGTTATACCTCACAGAAAGAAAATGGGTGGTTGTGGTGGTTTTTTACTTGAGAGAGAGTGTTATATAGAAAGAATACAAATTAAGTGGTTGGATTGCTAAATTTAGTTAATGAGGATGGAAAAATGCATTTATACAAAGTAAAAAGGTATTTTACTATATATTTAGTTGATATATTTGGTTTTGATTGTCACAATTGAAACTAGAGAGACCACAGTGGGTTCAGGGGCGAAGTTTAAGAGTGCTAAGTATAATTTACCCAAATTAAATGAAGAAAATTCAAGGAAATGTTCTTGAAGTTGGATGATGATCAAAGCAAACAATACTCTTCCTATATGAACAACAAACACGGCCCAATAAACTATAAGTGTACACATGTATGAGAACTAAGACTTGTGGGAAATAATGAATGCCAACTAATGCAGATTCAATCCTACACAAGTGTCAAACAAGTAGGCAACAGGTCATCAGCATTTTTTAAATCACAATACTATTATAAATGGAATGTCATTTAACTATAGACTACAGTTTACTCACTTGGCACTCTGGATCTCCAAAGCGAACGTTGTACTCTATTAGCTTGGGCAATCCAGACTTCTTTTCAATCATGAGTCCAGCATAGAGAACCCCAACAAATTTGCACCCCTCTTCAGACATTCCTTTTACAGTAGGAAGAATTATAGATTCCATGACCAAAGACTCGAGTTCTTTTGTTAAGATAGGCGCTGGAGAGTATGCTCCCATTCCACCAGTATTAGGCCCCGTGTCACCATCTCCCACTCGTTTATGGTCCTGAGCAGATTCTAAAGGAATTGCAGTCTCTCCATCGACCAGAGCAAAGAATGATGCCTCCTCACCCTCCAAAAACTCCTCAACAATGACACGGCAACCAGCAGATCCAAAAACACCCTTTACAAGCATTGAGTCGACAGCTTCAAAAGCCTCCTCCAACGTCATAGCAACAATAACTCCTTTTCCAGCAGCCAATCCATCTGCCTTGACGACTATAGGTGCACCTTGCTCTTTTATGTACTTCTTTGCAGCAAATGGATCCATAAAAGTTTGATACTGCACCAAATCAATCAAAGCGAATGTAAAAGAATTTTCTAGTCTATACAGACAAATCACAATCATGTTGAAGTAAAATCCTGTATATTGTCAAAACAAAATGTTGCCACCTACAGCTGGCAACATGGGTGATTCAGTAGATACTGGGATCATTTGTTACTATCCAATAATAATCAACCCCTTTTCCAATGTTAGATAGCAAATTTCAACACCATAATGATAATGGATCATTCTTGTCTTCTATTTTCATACAAAATGAATAAAATTCTGGCATCCGCATACTAGACAAAGTAGTGTGACTATTGAAGGTAAATCATGCTTGATTAAACTTTTATAAGAAAGACAAAGAAAGGAAGGAAACAATATCTTCTATTTTGCTTTAAGATTAAAATGGGGGGCAACCTTAGCAGTGGGAATTCCATATTTGTCACACAAATTCTTCATGAAATTCTTGGAACCTTCCAAAGCAGCAGCCTCTGATGAAGGGCCAAAAGTAGGAATTCCAGCCTTCCCTAGGTCATTTGCAAGACCTGCAACAAGAGGAGCTTCTGGTCCAATCACAACCAATCCTACACCCCATTTTTGACAAAAGGAAATCACAGCCAAGCTATCAGAGGTGTCAAGGTTGGAAATACAAGTGGCATCCCCTGAGCTGGAAATCCCAGCATTTCCTGGTGCACAAAAGACAGCATCGCAAGAGGGAGACCTCTTCAAGGAATAACAAAGTGCATGTTCCCTTCCCCCTCCACCAATGACCAACACAACCATCCTTTCTTCTGCAAAAACCAATTTTAAAGAGATGGATAAGTAAATGGAAAGACATGGCAAAGTAGCTAAGCCATCATTAGTAAATTGTGCACCCTTATTCTCAGAGAGAGAGAGAGAGAGAGAGAGAGAAGGAACACAATGCAGTTAACTGTAGATTGATTACTAATAAAAACAGTCACAAAGATAAACAAGAAATGGAAAGCATATATTATGTATACATACACAACTCTAGCACAACAGACATTCTGATCTAATCTATTGTTTTCAAAAGATGCATCTTTAGCTATGTTTTGTAGCCAAAACTTGCTTCTTATAATTTTAACAAACAACTTCAAAGTTTCTCCATTTGGGGATTTCATATTTTCACTAGTTTCCAATCTTCTTCATGCATTTCATATTTATAATTATAAAAAAAAAAAAAAGCACCAAAAATTCTTGACCAAAATGCATTTTCTAGGGGAGTCAAATTCCAAGCCATAAATTCAAGAGTCCTTGACATTTTCCACTCATCATCAACATAACTAATAAAATAGAAAAAATTACTCCCTTACTAATAAAAATTATTAATAATAATAAAAAACAACTCCAGCAAAAACATACTGACCCCCCAAAAAAACTAATAACGCGGAGAAAATGGGTCTAAATTAATATGTTTTGTTTGGTTTCTAACAAAATGAAGGAAAAATAGGGAACAATAAGCATTAACAATACTTAAATAATCTCTCTTAGTTATGCTTTGATTTTATTTACTTTGCTAGAGAGAATTGTTTGGGTTTGTTCTTACCAGGCATACCGTTATCTAAAGAAATGCTGCTGAAGACAGTAGAGAAGCATCGCAAGCGGTTGAAGAGTTGAGAATCCCTAGGACCATGAGGATTCACAGAGCTCGAATTAAGTGGCTTCACATAGAAAAGTGACGATGAATTTCTGAAGTCGCAGCACCGGTGAATGCCCCAGAACGGCCTTGATGAACGGTGGTGATGACTGCCAAAAAATTTCACTGAAGTTCTGTTATACGAAATGCAAGCCATAGTATTTGTTTGCCCAGAAATTATTCGATCAAAAGGCCTGGAAAAAAGAAAGTTTAAAAAAAATAAACCAGTGTAATCTCACAGCAAGTACTGACTCTTTGTTGTTTCTAAAGTTCTAAATAAAGATTGAAACTTGCAGTAACTACACCAAAAACATAAAACAAAATTACATCAATTCTACATAATTCATTCAACTAGCAATAGAAACAAAACCCCTAATTAATACACCAATCACACAACCCTTAATTTTTTCACCACATTACACTCATGTTAAAACAATAGAAACAAAAACCTAACTTCATAAACAAAACAATATATATATACATATTACCTAATGCACGTCCAGAATACAGAAAAGAAAACAAATTTTCGCAATTGCATTGCATACAAGGAATCAAATTTCGTCAGGAAAGTAGACACTTACAAAGTTTTGGCCCCTGATCGATCAGTTCAGCTGTATCTTCTAATGACTCGCTTCTCCAGATCAGATACAGTTCTTAGACAGAAAGAGAAAGACGCGAAGATAGAGGAGGAACTCCAAACACACACACACACACACACACAAACTCCAAGAGAGAAGATGTTGCAGGAGAGGAGCACCCGTGTACGGAGGAGGCGCCGCCGCCGAGGGCCGTGAGGGTTTCGAACATAAATCAGTGGAAATTAACTTGTTCACACTTTTCAGATTTTTTTTTCCCTATTTTTTTGTTTTTATTAAAATTTTTAAATATTTTAAATAATTTTTTTAAATTTTAGATTCACCTTGTAGTTGTTTGGCATGTGCTAAACTAGCACATGTCATTTTAGCACATCATCTTATTTGAGTCGTTGTTTGGCATGTGCTAAACTAACACATGTCATTTTAGCACATCATCTTATTTGAGTCACAATTATCTTATTTAAGTTACATCATTTCTTATTTGAGTCACATCATTTCTTTACAATATCACTTTAAACCCATTCTATACTTCACATGTTTTCATAAAAAGTTAAAAAATATATTAATTTAGCACTTCCCAAACAATCCCTAATATAAATACATATAAAAAGTATAATTTTGTAAAAAAAATCTTTTAAAAATTCACTAAATATAAAAAATACTAAAATTTAGTATATTTTTCATATTTTTTTGTATTTATTAATTTTTTTGAATATTTTTCACAATTTTTTTAACTTTTTAGATACTTAAAGTGCATCTAAATTTTTTTTTAAAAATGCTTAAAATTTAAAAAATATTCACTAAAAAAACACAAAAAATAAAAAACTCAATTTTTAAAAAACTTAATCTAAAAAACTCAAACTAAATACGCTGAATGAGATTTATGTTTATGAATTTGTCTGCAAATTCGGCATAACTGAGATTTATGTTTCACATGTAGGGATAATAACCTGCCTATTATCTCATTTCTCCATACTAAGGCCTCTTTTGTAATTAAATTAAAAATCAATTTTTTAATTTTTTTATCACATTATTTTTCTATTTTTTTATTTTTTTTTAAAAAAAAAAAGTTAAAAGATTAACTTTTAACCTACTTTTTAAAATGTCTTTAAAAAAAAGTTTCAATCTATACGTGTACAAATTATCTGTATCGCTTGCTTATTTTGAAAAGTGTTTTTGAAAAACTAAAAATAAGCAAAGTAAACGAGATTTAGGTTTATGGATTTGTCTGCAAATTCGGCATAACTGAGATTTATGTTTCACATGTACAGATAATAACCTACTTATTATCTCATTTCTCCATTTTGTAATTAAGGCCAAGTTTGGCATGATTGAAAAAAAACAAAAAGTCACTATCCTATTTAAGTCACATCATCTTATTTAAGTCACATCACCTCTCTAACACATCACTTCAAACCCAACCCAAACCCAACTCATATTTCATAAAAAGTCAAAAAGTGCACTTATTTAGTCTTCCTAAACTAGGCATTAAAAATTGATTTTTTTATTTTTTTTATCACATTATCTCATATTGGTATGTGGACATTTGTTGAGGCATTTTTCTCTAGATGCCAAGAACATAAATGATGTCTATAGTTTGGAATAACTCTTTTGATTGCCTGACGTATTGGCCCATCACCATCTGTTACAACGGAGATGGGTCTTTTACCATCTATGGCCTCCATTAACATTTCCAACACCCACGTGTATGTCTCCATTGTCTCATCAGGCAACATAGCACATTCGAATATAGTTGTCATAAAATGGTTACTCACGCCAGCTAGAATTACAAATGGCTTCTTATATGCATTTGTACGATAAGTTGTATCAAATACCAATACATCACCAAATGTAGCATAATCCATTCCAGACTTACAATCTGCCCAGAAAATCTTGTCCAACCGGTTGTCCTTATCAACGTTGTATTTGAAAAAAAATAATGGATCTGCATCTAATTTAGTTGATAAGTATCCTAACGCACCCTCTGCATCCCCTTCTGCGAGTTGTACTTTGCGCTCAGCTTGGAATTGATTGTGAAAATCTCTGTGAATGAAGCCCACCTTCTCATAACCCCCTGACTGGTGAATCATAAAATCCATGATCTGACTCGTTTTCATACCCACATTGCGCATGGCCTTTGCTTGAGCTTGGTCTGCACTTGTTACAAACCTATGCGACCAAAGAAAAGAGACGTTGTGTGGTGCTGCCAAGGGATGGTTGTGTTCCCCTACAAAGTGGGTCACAACATATTTCCTAACTGTCTTGTCGTAACGCACGCGAAATGTGGCACTACAAAAAAGTCTAGTTTCGGCCCTAGGAGTTCTTACCCGTTCCACACGTTGCAAGTATTTCTTTTCTTTTACACCTTCCCTTGAACAAACCCATTTCCTACTCTCTACAAATTTGTTGTCTCCACTAATTCTTTTCTACTTCTTCGTACGCTAAAACCGATGACCTTAGCGTATGCATTGTAGAAAGTATAAGCATCATCCTCTGAATTGAATTCCATTTGCAACACATCTTCCTTAGTAAGCATTCATAAACTATCATAGGTTTGGAAAGCTAACCCTTCTTTCATATCAACAACATCATCCTTGCCATCCGGAGCAAATTGATCATCAATTTCAGTATTGACCTCTTTATGCCTACTACTTTCAGGTTCATCCATCATATATACACTCGTAAGTACCCTATTAGCAATTAAAACGAAACAAATCAACTAAAAAACACACCTGCCATTGCGCTGCTATAAATTAAATCTTCGGAGCAAATAAATTAGCACACCTGCCAGTGCCTTGCAATCAATTAAAAAAAAAAAATTCGAACATGTTTGCAAGCACCCTACTATCAACTAAAACCAAACAAAAAACAAAAAAAGCACACCCGCCAATACTGTGCTATCAATTATTAATTCTTTAAAGAAATGAACAAATAAGCACACCAGCCAGTGCTCTGCTATCAATTACACGCCAATAATAAAAAAGCACACCTGTAAGTACCCTATTATCAATTAAAATAAAATTAATTAATTAAAAAGCACACCTGCTAGTGCCCTGTTATAAATTAAAATCATACAAATAAATAAAATAGCACACTCGCCAATGTCCTGCTATTCATTAAAATCAAATAAATAAATAAGCACACCAGCCATTACCCTGCTATCAATTCAAAGCAAATAAATTAAAAAACACAAAATCAATTACCCTACTATAAATTAAAATGAAACAAATAAATAAAATAGCACACCCGCTAGTGCCCTGCTATTCATTAAAATCAAACAAGTAAATACACACACCCGCCAGTGCCCTGCTATAAATTCAAATAAAATAAATTCAAAAACACAGAAGCAAGTACCCTACTATCAATTAAAATGAAACAAATAAATAAAGTAGCACACCCACCAGTGCCCTGCTATTCATTAAAATCAAACAAATAAATAAGCACACCAGCCAGTGCCCTACTACCAATTCAAAGCAAAAAAATTCAAAAACACAAAAGCAAGTACCCTAATATCAATTAAAATGAAACAAATAAATAAAATAGCACACCCGCCAGTGCCCTGCTATTAATTAAAAACAAATAAATAAATAAGCACACCCGCCAGTGCTCTACTATCAATTTAAAGCAAATAAATTAAAAAAACATAGAACGAAGTACCCTAATATCAATTAAAATGAAACCAATAAATAAAATAGCACACCCGCCAGTGCCTTGCTATTAATTAAAAGCAAATAAATTAAAAAGCAGACCTGCTAATGCAACCGCTACGGAGGAAGGAATGGAGGAGGTATAGGTTTACTTCTACGTTAAGATGGAGAAATTGAGAACCTATGACAAACAAAAACAGAACATCGAAATAGAGTTAGTAAAGAAGACAATACTTAAGGAAAGTAATGATTATGGCGAGAAAAGAAAGAATCTATGTACGAAAAATATTATTTTGCACATCTTTTCACATTAACAAACTGCATAAGCAATAACAGAGATGAAAGTCTTTTACCTTTGTTCAAAGTATGAATAACCATTACATAAATAAACACTTACACAAATGTACCACAACCAACCGTTTGACTACTTCAAACAAAAATTAAATAAAAATATCTACAAAAAAGGATTATTTGATTGGATGAACTATTGGATTATTTGGTAGATCATTTTTTGGTTAATTTCCTAGTATTTCCTATGTCACAGGTAAAGCTGAGTAGCTTCTAAATCGATGGACTATTGAATTGTTTTTCTGAAAACTTCGTATCCGGCCTATTGAATTATTGGACTATTGGATTTGGATTATTGTTATTGGATTTTCTAATCTTGATAGAACCTTAATGTTGTGCTTCAATCATGTATATGCGTAGAGATTTGAAAAGGAAGTGGAAAATGTGAGTGGAATGTCAATGAACTATAATTACATTCGACACACATTTTCCATTTCCTTTTCCAAATCCATAGCTAAATCCATGATCCAAACATAATATTAAGGACATATGATGGTTTCAGTGTCATAGAAAGCAAAGCAAATTCACATAATTTTCTTCCCCTTGTGTGCTAGTTTATTATTTTCCAAAACAATTTAAAATAAAATAAAATAAATGTGGGAGTGTATTTTCCAAATGTTTTGAGCAAGCTTCAGTCCATATGTCATAGTTACATGAAGTTATATATCATAAAGTGAGTACTTACAAATGATAGCAACTATGAATTTGGTTATAATTCTTGATTAATTATAAACAACAGCAACTAGGACTCACTTTGCTAATTTAATATAAGGATTTTTTTGGTTAAGTGGGGAAGGAAATAATTTTTCAAAAACACACTCGTTCGTGTGGTTGGTAGACAGCATTAAGGTGTGAGCAAGAAACTCGCGTGTGTTTTGGTCTTTATGGTCTTCAAGTTCATATTCACTGTTTGGGGTGAATATTTATTTTCACGACTTTCACCATCTAATATTGACAAACAAGAAAGGATAAGCTTTGTACATCTTGGAGATTTTGCATGAAAGAAGATAAGTTGGAAGTCTTTGTCAAAGAACAAGGTAAACAGATATAACAAAAATTGAATTAGAATTTGAATTTGAATTTGAATATACATTCTTCACCACCATAGCAATTACAAGCTTGCTTTTCTACCCAAGATGAACTATAAAAGCCGACACCAGTAGTTTAGCGGTATAGGGTTAGACCCTGAGATGACCTGTAAACCTAGACATCTTAGTTTGACTCTCATTAGTGTCTCTCGGGCTTAACCCATACCTGTGGTTTACCAATGATTGTAGGTAACAAAAGTTCACTCCATAAGGGTGGGTCAAATGTGGCCCTACCTTTTAATTGCTTTGTCTAAATCTTAGTGTTGAAAAAATAGACCATCATATCAGAAACCACCCTATGAATAAATGGAATTTAACTCAAAATGCACTTCAAATATCTTAAAAATGGTTTAAATAAGCTGCATGGGATATAACACGGAACTAGATTTTTTTTTATTTTCTCACCTGTTATACAGATTTAAACTTTATATAGTTTGAATCATACTCAATAAATTTAATCCGTATGTTTTAAATTTTAATTTTTTTTCCTTTCTGAATATAACATTGATGGGATCCAATATGGTTGATGAGGGAGGATATTTCTTGAACAAGAAATGATTTTGGGATGCATATAGGATCCACGTATGGTTTCACCAAAAAGAGCTAGCAGGTGCACAAACCCTTTGGTGGTTTTGCACTCAATACCACCAAAGATATTAGCATAGCTGGAGAGCCATATGAAAAAGCAATATTTATCATAGCTAAGAGTGAAACCCACATGCATTTGAGCTTATTTGGGTAATAAAAACACTAAAACGGTGTTGTGATACTCTATAATCTTTACACTTGGTCGGTCTCTATTAGTAGTTTAGTACACATGCCAATGTCATGCCACTCAATTAAAGAATAAATATCGTTAGGCAGTATTTGAATTTTGAATTTTAATAAAAATTTGTAGAAGATATTAAAAAGAGAATAAAAAGTATTAAAAATTTAGTAATTTAGCATCTCGTGTCACATGAGTCAAGTAAACCAAAAATAACAATGCTATGATTCCAAGAAAAAAAATAATAAAAAAACTCTCCTAAATTTCACATCATCAATAGTCAAGATTCATTTAGAATGTGGCCCCACAACAGCAACTTTCAATATATACTATTGATTTGAAATTCATGACAATTTTCTGGTGCTATAGACTTTTTGAACCAAAAATACCCTATTTGCATTTTCGATTTGAAAAAAAAAAAATGGAGATAGAAAGGAAAAAAGAACGGAAAAGTAGCAAATATTTAACAAATTTTGATACCCCATGCCATGCGAGTCAATTAAACAAAAATACCTTTAGATTGTATTTGAATCTTGAATTTGTGGACAAAAAGGAAAAACAAGGGAAAAATGACAAAAAATTAATAGTTTAGTACACCATGTCATGCGAGCCAATTAAACAATAAGTATTGATAGGTTATACTTGAATCTTGAATTCGAATACGAATTGTGAATAGAAACGAAAATAGACCAAATTAGACAATTTTTAATTCATGCCATTTTTTGACAACACTAAATGGTGGAACAAAGAAGTGGATGATCCCATAAAAAAAATGTTCATATCATTATGATGTTACTAGGCAAGCGCACTTTCTATTGCCTACCTTGCTAGCCATATCAGCAATGGATGCATTACCTCCATGTTCACTGTTAATACATATTTTTGTATTTTCAAACAATGTCACAATCAATTTAAAAGGCTGTTGAGGCTTATGGATTAAGACTCACTTCGAAGATCAAGGAAAGCAGCTTACAACAAAACCTTGCGGCTTAAAAAACCAAAGGCTCGAGCCCAAGAAGCAAGGCTCTTATAAAAGACAGGCATCACACTTAAACTGATCTTATGCCTACAATGCATGCTTCTCAACCTAGCCCAATGCAAGCAACCTATACCGATCATCACAAACTTACTTTTTAACTATTAGTCTTGCTAGTTTATTTCAACACATTAAGATACACACGTTCTACAAATCACACCACTAGTTATAGATATCACTATTTTTACTTCTTTGCACGGTCAGTTAGAAGTTC